ACTACTACACATACTGCTACCCACACACACTGCTACTCACACTGTGCACACACTCACTACCCATTACTACACATACTGCTACCCACACACACTGCTACTCACACCTTTTATTTATTACTGGTATTTATAAAGCACCAACAGATTCCACAGCACTGTACAATTAGTGGAGGACGTAAAATATACACAGACAATTACAAAAGGTAGAGAGGGCCCTGCCCGTAAGATGAGATCTAGCCATTTAAGTTATTTTATACAAAGTGCTTAGCTAGATAGCCCGTGAGCTTACAATCTAAAGGATACCATGGGGATTTAAGACAAGAAGTAGCAGGGGAAATTTGGAAGTGATGGCTAAAAAAGTAAACAGTGATTTGCAACTAATGGTAAAATATAGAGGGAATGAAGTACTAATTGAGTGAGAACCTTAAACACCTGGTGGAGCACCTTTCTACCTATACCATTACTCACACCGCTACAGACACTAACTGCTACACATACTGCTGCCAACAGTGTTATACACACATACTGCAACATACATTACTACACATACAGTGTATGTATACCAGTTTACCAAAACTATTATGCACACACACAAAAATTACTACACATGCTGCTACCCACACTGTTACATAAACACACACACACACATATACACACACACATGCTGTTATCCACACTTTATACACACACTACTACACAAACATATGGTAAAACACATGCTGATATCCACACTCTACACAAACACACACTAACTCACACATACATATACACACACTACTACACATACCAAAACTGTTATGCACACACACACACACACACACACACACACACAAATTACTACACATGCTGCTACCCACACTGTTACATAAACACACACATATACACACACACACATGCTGTTATCCACACTCTATACACACACTACTACACAAACATATGGTAAAACACATATTGCTATCCACACTCTACACAAACACACACTGACTCACACATACATATACACAAACTACTACACATATGTGAAAGTAGTCACCATCACCAGGAGATTCAGAAGAACACTGTATGTAGGACCCTGGACTACTCCTATGTCTAAGCCACTCTATGCCTATTATATGTGAAGGGTGTGAATAACCTATTTGTCTATTGTTAAATGTGGACTCACTTAAAGGACCACTATAGGCACCCAGACCACTTCAGCTTAATGAAGTGGTCTGGGTGCCTGGTCCAGCTAGGGTTAACCTTTTTTTTTAATAAACATAGCAGTTTCAGGGAAACAGCTATGTTTATAAATAGGTTAATCCAGCCTCTAAAGCCTCTAGTGGCTGTCTCATTGACAGCCGTTAGATGCGTTTGCGTGCTTCTCACTGTGAAAAACAGCCTATGGCCTCCCAGAGTAACCTCTACCTTACATACCTGTCTCTTGCTCTCTCCTATAGGACATTGCTTTACTCTCTGCTTCACTCCCACCCTATTTGATTGATATTAGTTACATCCCCCTCTCATGGTGCTGTGGATCGCTACGGAATCTGTTGGCGCTATATAAATGACAATAATAATATAAATGGCAATAATAATAATAATAATAAATAGTTAATGTTTTATTGATACATGAATTTCCAAACAATCAGTACTGATCAGACACTTGTCCACCAGATAACCTATCTATGTGTCTATATGTTATAGACTCAACACTCCAAGCTTAGACATACTTGGCTCGTCAGAACTACAGTATACATGTCAAACCATTCATACCTCATCTAAAGGTATAGGTGGGTTGTTCTCAGGGAATTAACACTGCAGTTATTGGGGAGGTTCGGCAGGTAGAGTGTAATTTCATACTCATATGTATCCAATTCCTTCCATTCTGTCATCTACCATTCTGGTTCTGGTTTTTCTTACAGATACGTTGCACCCGCTTCCTTAAATTAGAGTTGGTTAAGGAGTCAATCCGTAGACGAATGGGTATGGCCACCTAGGTACTTCCCACAGGCACCTTCTGCCATAGAGTCAGAGGTCCCACGAAGCCAACACCCATCCTCTACGAAAGAGGTAATGCGCCCCTCGGGCCAAATCATAGCTAGACGCCTCGCATGTTGCATAGCAAGGGCGTCACTCGTCACTACCCCTTCTCAGATTAACGACTCATTTCTCATCAAATCACATCCAGCAGATTACCCCCTCACGCCAACCATAGGTAGAGCCAATCCAGTCAGTTGGCAACTAGTAGGGACTCACCTGTCACTAGTCGTAATGAATTGTTTTGCCACTTCGGCACTAGTAAAAACAACGGTTACAACCTCAAGAGCAACTCATGATTTCTAAATATATATATTTCAGTATGTCCCAAATTTCAGAAGAAGGAGATGACATTTCTAGTCCAAGTACTCCAACTAGGACGGCCACCCCTACACCTAAAAGGGTCACAGGCAGTTCATCTTCAATTAGAACGTGGACAATTCCACAAAGCACGGCCAAATTACGCAGGGTAGCATACCCTTTTCAGCTACTGCCTGCAAAGCAGAACTATTTAGGCTAACAGTTCAGACATTGGGCCTCTCTCAAGCTCTTTTGCATAGTCATCACACAGGCTATCTAAGGACCTTTGCAACATACTTCAGGTAACCTTAGTGGACAACCAAGTCTTATTTGCAATCCCTCATTTAGGCACTAAGTTCACATATCATCTGGATAGGAATGTATGCGTAAATTCAGCTATCTCACAGCTTTCTACCTGTAATCAACCACGTCTTACAGTATTATACATCTGCTATATCTTGCACTGTCCACATACGGCCACACCGTAGCTTATCATACCACGGCCAATTTTATTCCCAACCACACTCTTTATACATTACATATGACCCACAAAAGGGCTATCCACTATAGCATAATGACAGCCCCTCATTTGGGCCATTACATACGGCATAAGAATTATAATTTTGATATAAGTTGCAATTTTGTCACAACCTACCACTGCATGCCTCTACACAGGGGACCTCACTAGGCCATCACTCATGGTACACTCGACCCACCGCAAGCAATCCATTAAGAATCCATTTCGGCCCCACATTTGTGCAATTCCATACGACCAAAGTCATGTTAGACTACTCAAATCCTCCCTATACGGCCTTTCTCTGCATTTACAACTACAGTCACAGACACTTACATGATCTCTAATATTAGTTCCTACTGGTAAACTAGAATGTCACATACTTCATACATATTTCAGGTTCTTCTAGCGGTAGGACGCCCAGCGGGAACTTACCTTGGCACTATATGTTTAGGTGTCCCCTATACATATATATGTCTTTAACTAGGGTCGTCTACATATGTAGTCACCCTGAGGCCACGGTTTACAAAAGCCTTCTTGTAATCTCAGGGGACAGTTGGCTATGGGGGTATGTGGCCGGGCGAAGTAAGCCAGATCAAAGGATTCCTCAAAACTTTGCACGATTCACAGGTATATCCCATCGTAGCCACAGCAGCAACATGGGGTTTCTGCCATGTTGGCAATGGACCACGTCATAAACCAGTCCGGTCTTGTATCCCTTATGAATTCATCAGACAACTAACGTAGGGGAAGCCTGTAACCAATTTTATCTGGTATGTTACCACATACCAGGCATTTACAATACAGCTGCTGATCAGTTATCTAGTCTTCAGTTTCAGGCGTTCAGGAGGTCCCTAACAATGGCCTCACTGATGGCCACGATTGCTCCCAAGCTCCAAGAATTACCTATGGAATAGAAGAGTTGCTAAGTCACAACAGGAATTCACACAGTGGGCCCTCAAAGAAACGCACTGCTATGACAGAGCTTACTGCATATATTTCATGTCAGATCACCACCTTACAAACGGGTTCAAGTATACAACGTTGGGGGCTTTCGCCAATTTTTTGTCACATCAAATAAATGTCACACAACACTATTAAGTTACATCTCCCGGGCATTCTACACCACATGTTCTCAGTTACAAACCCCATTCTCAAAACCGTCATATACTTGGCTTTTTTTTTTTTTTTTTTTTCAAATTTTTATTGGGTAATAATGCAAGATTACAACATCTGTTTTGCAATATACAATCTGGTATCAACGAACTTTTGTATGTTATACATTGTTACCATGCTTGAGAGTCCAGAACGGTTGTGTTAACTGTTCGAGCACGTTACGTTTTAGCATTCGTTTGTGTGCGGTACCCTTGGACAAAGTACTCGAGTGCGGTTTGATTTTAGTCGTTGTTCACTTTGCATGGGTGGTGTGTTATTAACATACAGGTAGAAATCAAAACATAATATAACATAACATAACAGTACATTGGGGTGGGTGATGAACTTTCCTGGTATAGCTAGTATGTACCATCGTGGCGTAGAACCTCGTCAGTGTGGATTGTTGCGTTGTGGTAGATTTGTCTGTTTGGGTATGTGGGTCTATAGCCTTTGTGGAGGTGTGTTGCGTATGAAAGTTAACCATGGTTCCCAAGTGGCCGTGTAGTCGTGGTATTTGAGTGAAAAGGAGTACGCTAGCTCCTCCATTTCTCTGATAGCGTCTACCCTTTCTATCCAGGCTCTGATCGTAGGGGGTGCAGTTTGCTTCCATTTGGTTGGGATGATGGCGTTTGCTGCCGTTAACAGGTGGTTGATCAGTGTGCGTGAGTGTTTGGGTAGGGGGCTGGGGTACATTAAAAACAACAAGACTTTAGGGTCTTGGGGTAGTTTGTGTCCCGTGATGGTGTGAATAACGTTTGTTATCTGGGCCCAGAATTTACTTATTATTGGGCATTGCCACCAGATGTGGCTTGTGGTTCCCTCCGCTTTCTTGCACCTCCAGCATGTGTTTGGTGCGTTTGGGAAGAATCTGTGGATGCGGGATGGTGTGTAGTGCCATCTGGCTATTCGTTTGTAATTGCTCTCATGTGTGCTGTTGATTTTGGATGTGCGGAAGACATTGGCGAATATTTTATACCACTCTTTGGTTTGCATTTGTAACCCCAGCTCTGTTTCCCACTTGGATGTATAGGTAGGTAGGAGTTCGTCCTTTCGTCTGCATAATTGTTTATAGAAGGAGGATATGTGGCCCCTCCGGATGCTGTGTTGTGCGCATTGGGTCTCGTATAGAGTGTGGGTTCTATGGCCTTGTGATAGTGGTGGATTTGTGCTTAGAAAGTGTTTGAGTTGCTCGTGTCTCAGTCGCGTCATTCCCGTTTGCGATTCAGTGGGTAGTAGTTGTTCAAAGGGAGTGACCCCCTGGTCCGTTAGGACATCTCCCAAAGTCAGTGTATGAGCTTGTTTGGGGAAGTTTCTAAACGCCCTGTGGTCCATGCCTGGGGGGAAGGAGGGGATTTCCCGTTAGTGGGTAGAGTGGTGATGGATGTGGTGCTAGGTGTTTGTCTCTCCTAATGGTCGACCAAAGTTTCACTGTGTGTGTGATTGTGGGGTGAGAGGTCCCTGAGCGCGTTTTCGTGTCGGTCTTGTTAGCGAGCCAGGGTATGGCATATATCGGTGTCGCGAGAAAGCTGGCCTCAATCTGTACCCATTGGGCTGTGTTTTTAGGGTATGACCATTCATAAATCCTCGTGAGGATAATGGCTTTGTGGTACGTTTCCAGATCTGGTAGGCCTAGTCCTCCTCGTTGTTTGCTTTTTGTGAGGCATTCGTATTGTAGCCTCGGGGGTCTACCTGACCATATAAAGTTGTTGAATAGTCGCCTGGAGAGGGAGAAGAAAGGCCTTGGTATTTTAATAGGCAAGGTTTGCATTATATATAGAAACTTGGGGAGAATCATCATCTTTAAGATGTGGATTCTGCATAGCCAACCGAATTGTGGTTTATTCCACGATTTGAGTTCGGTATCTACTTTGTTTAGAAGGGTTGTGTAGTTAAGGGCGTATAGGCGTGACAGTGTGGTTGTGAGTTGGACTCCCAGATATCTAATTGACTCTGTGGGCCAGTGGAATGGATAGGTGACGCGGAACGCTGTTTGTGTGGTGTTCGGTATGTTGAGCGGGAGTATCTCGCTCTTGCCCATGTTTATTTTGTAATTGGAGACTGCATTATATGCCTCTATCTCTTGTATAAGGTGTTGTAGGGATGTTTTTGGATTAGATAGGGTGAACAGTAGGTCGTCCGCAAAAGCGGAGACCTTGTATTCCTGCTCTGCTATTTTAATGCCAGATATGTTTGGGTTGTCTCTTATTCCTTGTAGGAATGGCTCCATGGTGAGGATGAAGAGTAGTGGGGAGAGGGGACAGCCTTGCCTAGTACCATTGGTTATTTGTACGGTATCTGACAATTGGCCGTTCACACGCACTTTTGCTCCCGGTTTTGAATATATGGCTGCGAGCCATTGTATCCATTGTTGGCCGAAGCCCAGAGTTTTCATTGTGGCCATGAGGAAGGACCAGTCTACCCTATCAAATGCCTTCTCGGCATCTATAGTTAAAATGAGGCTCTGGGGTCCTTTTCCTTTGGCTATGTGTATCAGGCTTAGGAGTTTCGTAGTGTTATGTTTGGCCTCCCTGTTCGGTACAAACCCTGATTGATCCGGGTGTATCAGTCCGTTCAGGAGTGGTTTCAGCCGGTTGGCAAGAATCTTAGTGAAGATTTTCAAATCACAATTTATAAGAGAGATTGGGCGGTAGCTCCCACACTCCTCTAGGTCCTTTCCGGGTTTGGGGATCAATGTGATGTGGGCTTCTAAGGATTCTACTGGGAGTTTGTGTCCTAAAGCCAGTGAATTGAAGGCAGTGACAAAGGGTTTGCAGAGCAGATTTGTGAATGTTTTGAAGTACTTGGTAGTGAAGCCGTCGGGTCCTGGGCTTTTGCCTATGGGGAGGTTTTTAACTACCAGTCTAAATTCTTCGTCTGTTAGGGGTCCTTCAATGGATTGTCTTACGTTTGTGGGGATCGTTTGCGTGATTCTGCATATACTTGGCTTTTATGGTTTCCCACGATCAGAGAATTTATCATTATAGGGCAACACGAGTCCAAGCTTTAACCTGTACAAATACAGGAGCACTATGTATTAACTTACCATCAACTAATAACAGCCAGAGGGGCCACGAGGTACTTATTCAGTACTACCCCGCCAACAACGCATACCTCAGCTGACACAGGAATTAAGGAATGCATTTGTGAAATGTCACCGGAATGCATTTGTGAAATGTTTTCGTAATAAACATCTTGGATTACACTATATGGGTATCCTTTTTGCCCACTTATTTACAGGCCTACCACACACGTCGGTTTCGGCACACCTCTATCGACTTTTGATTATTGTGATAAGTATATTTAATAGCTATTTCATACTATACTGAAATGGCCCCGACCACAAATTGGAAGGCAGGGCCTGAAGTTGTGGTAGGTGCTATGTCCCTTTAAAAGGGACTCCCCCTCCTACCTAACTTACCTACTGGTCCAGACGTACTTCTGGCTCACCCTCCTCTCCTTCTATTCAATACTATTTAAGGTAGGCCCACTTATTTACAGACCTATCACACACGTCGGTTTCGGCACACCTCTACCAACTTTTGATTATTGTGATAAGTATATTCAATAGCTATTTCATACTATACTGAAATGGCCCCGACCACAAATATATTTTATACATATATATAAAATAAATGTTAGCATATAGTTTGGAAAGGGGTGCTTGAGAATTCTGCTTGAGAAGCTTTCACAAGGAAAAGACCATTAACATTAGAAATAAATAGTTTAATGAGTTTGCAATCATGGGTGTTCAGACTGTTTTACATTTGAGAAATAGACTATGTCCAGTGGCATTCCTCTTTGAAAGTAAATGATGCATTAATTAATGGAGCAATTTATGTTTTATTTAAGGTTTGAGCTTAGAAATGATTCTGACTCAAATTATGAAAGAAAGTCAGTTGCAAGACACAGATGTAATCTAGTGTGCATTAGTACATTTTTCTGATATATTATTTTTTTTAAGATAGCTTAATTATAATCCAATTTTCTATTATAATTCAGGCACAAACTTACATGTAATGTAAATACATGATTTTAATGTGGATGTATCAGAAAGTAAACAGCATATAAAATGGATCCTTTTTGTTTTCACAAATGTATTGTATGTAAATTTATCAGAATGCCATGGATTGATTAGTACATTCTACCTTACCTCAACCCTCTAAAGTACATGTGAAAATGATGCATCCAGATTCTTTCATCGTCACTGCATATAGATCCAGAAAGGGACAATAAATTTTCAGGGTTATTCACTAAACACCATATTTTGTCCATTATTGCTTGTCTGGATGCATTTAGTGTCCAGATTAGAATTATTGCTTTTGCGTCCAGACCCTATACAAAGTATAGGATTCTAAATATATTCAAAAAGCACTGGATTTAACAAAATTTTGGATCGAGTACATCTGCCAGGATGTACGTTCACAAATTATCATTCTTTGTTGTTTAAAAACAATTGATCATTTAAAGTACTATTGAAGAACTATTTTCCAGCAGGCAAATAGTTGAATAACTCTCAGCGCTGCAAGGATTAACCACGTGACAGCCGGCCAGTATTTGCAAGTCAGCCATTACATTAAACAGTAAAAATAAAATAATAAATAAATGAAATATAATAAATGTTTCTTAAATTAATGGGAAGGCTTGGAAGCATGGGTTCAAGCCACACCTCCAACCTTCTGGGTATAAGAGCCAGAGATCTTACTTCATACAGTAACATACCATGGCATGGCATGCACAGTGCTGTGATAGCTGGCCATGGAGAACTATTGAGCACAATGATTCTCTAAGGGGAAATTAAAGGTGCATCGCTGTGAGTGCTGTGCATGCCAATGCTCCTCTATGAGGGATATTGTATTTTCCTGCAATCCTGGAGGCATGTCTCCAGGGTGAAATAACCTAAAGAGGAGGTCATGGCAGCACTGAGAGAGACTCGGTGCTGGAGAAAAAGGTAAGTAATTTGTTTATTTTTATTTTATTTTTATTTTAATACTGTTGGGGGGGGTCTAATGGACAATGGGCATCAGGACAGTAGTGTTAGGAATTACATATATGTATTTCAAATCCTACAGTGTTCCTTTAAACACTGTAGGCCCTGCAGATGTTGTGGACTACAATTCCTTTGATGCTTTGACAGCATCATGGCTGTAAGAGCATTGTTGGAGATGTAGTCCAAAACATCTGGAGGGCCAAAGGTTCCCCATCCCTGCTTTAAAGGAACACTCCAAGCATAGGGGGACCAGATCTACCATGTTTTCTGGGACATATATCATAGATACATATTGATGGGCAGCACATGAAAAGGGTAGCCCTGTAATATGTAGAATTCAGAAGAAAGTGTATAAGACTAAGCAATTGGGCAATGAAGAATCCTGCAGAATATGCATTATACATAATGCAGGGCAACCGTTTTCATGAGTTTTCATAAATATGACAAAATTATGTGTTCCTGTAAACATGGTGGATCTGGTCACCCTGTGCAACCACCATGACCACTACATCCCACTATAGTGACTATGATGTCAGGAATACCCTGGTTCCATTCCAGTATAACTTGTCAAACTGTTTTAGCAAGGTTTGAAACTTTCCAGTGTTCCACAAAAAATTGCATCTGGTCTTCTTCAGCATGGAGAGGAAGTTATTAAATGGCTGAAAACACTCAGCTGACTCTTTCAGCCAATGAATTGGCTTTCGGAGTTCTACTGCTGCAGAAGAACATGTGCAGCATACACAAACAGCAGGATCCAGGTAAAGGTCAAAATATGCTAAAATGGTTTGACGGTTTACACTCTCTTAGCACCAGAACAGTCCGTGCACTAAAATCATTACAGTGGGCTGATGTGGTTATGGTGTTTGAAGTGTTCTTTTAATAATAATAACAGTAGTATTGTTGATAATATTAATATTATCATAAATTGTGTTTTTTTAGTCCTTAACTTTGTTGTTTAATTGTTCTCTTGGGGCATATGTAAGAAGTTAGCCGATTCTCTGTCTAAGTCTTTAGACAGTACGAGTGTTAACCACATAATCTCATATTCATAGCGTGATGAATGATGATTAGGTAATTTTGTGTATACACATCTGTTTTAATACATAAAAAGGCACTGAGCCTTGTGATAAACAAGTTTCAAATGCTGGAAAGAATTCTTGAACTTTCTGGCACAGCATTTCTGTTGAAAAACAGACTTGTAATAATATTAATTTGCAGTTATAGAGAGATATCCGTGAGAAAAAGATCATTTGAGGAACAGTACAAATACAAATACAAACTGCCTCTATTGGTCAAATTGTTATACCCTAAGACTACGTCTTACCGTGAGGTTG